TCTTCTTCTTCTTCTTCTTCTTCTTCTTCTTCTTCTTCTTCTTCTTCTTCTTCTTCTTCTTCTTCTTCTTCTTCTTCTTCTTCTTCTTCTTTGTTGAGAGGCTGAGAGAAATTAACTGAGACCCAGGCATGACGCTCCCTCCGTCTCCTCTCAAGCATGGAGTCTTGGTTCTACAGCTTCAGACGAACAGGGCTACCCACCTGAATTGGGGATCCAAAATGTTAGTCTTCCAGGTATCCACCAGGTGTCTCCCTTCTCTTACGTATCCCGTAGAGGCCCCTTTGCCCATGGCTACTTTGGAAAGTGGTTCCAACAACTGTTCGGATGGTTTGGATCTTTTCCAATCTAGTTTCAGACACGGTGAAGGGACTGAAACAGGCTTGGGTGCCCTGGTGGATGACCTGTGCCAGGAGATGGACGGAGGGAAGAAGAAGGAGGAGGAGGAGGAGGAGGAGGAGGAGGTTGGATTTATACCCCGTCCACTACCCAAAGGTGTCTCAGAGTGGCTTACAAACTCCTTTCCCTTCCCCTCCCCACAACAGACGCCCTGTGAGGTAGGTGGGGCTGAGAGAGCTCCGACCGAAACTGCTCTTTTTCAAGAACAGCTCTTATCAGAACTACGGCTTGCCCAAGGTCATCCAGTCAGGTGCCAGCCCAACAAGGTCTTGTTTATGTCATAACAAATGAGTTCAACACCCCTGGATTAACACATGGATTAACGTGACGGCTACCAGCATGGACGGCTTCAAGAGGGAATTAGATAAGCATATGGAGCAGAGGTCCATCCGTGGTGATTAGCCACAATGTATAGATAGCAACACTCGGTCTGGGGCAAGGGATGCTCCGTATTCTTGGTGCTTTGGGGGGGGGGGTCAACAGTGGGAGGGCTTCTAGTGTCCTGGCCCCACTGCTGGACCTCCTGATGGCACCTGGTATTTTTGGCACCTGTGTGACAGAGTGTTGGACTGGATGGGCCTTTGGCCTGATCCAACATTGGCGTCTCTTATGTTCTCTTAAATTAGAATGGAGTCCAGCAGAGCACCTTTAAGACCCACAAAGGTTTATTCAAGGTATGAGCTTTCGTGTGTGTGCACACTTCTTCCGATACATTGGAATGGAAGGTAGTGTTCAAACTCAACTCATAGACAGAAGCTGAACAGCAAATTAACACGTAACATGATGAAGATGTTTTAAGATAGGCAAAGACAAAACTAAATAACAAGCGAAGGTTATAAGGTCAAGAGTTTTGATTTAATTAAGGGGGCGAAAGGACAGCAAAGCAATAAATATGTCAAAGTAGGGGATAAATGTGTAAAGGTCTCTTTTCTAATTGTGGGAAGTAAACTGGGATCCCCCATTCGTCTCCTCTCAGGCGTGGAGGTAACTTAGCAGCATTTTTTCCCCTTCTTCTTTGAGGCGGGTGCAGTGGTATGTCAGCAAAACATTCCAATATTCCTTGCGTTACATTCAGAATTCTAATATACTATTCTGAAAAGGAAATACACTAAAACACAGAGGATGTATACTCCTTTTTGTTGAGAATACATATGTGAGGCCTGAATGAGTTAGCATATGTAATGAGACAAGAAACCAATATTCCTGTTGAGTCCTGGGGAGGTTTTTTTGTTCCAAGTGTTGTAATAATTTGTAATTCGGCAACTTCCCTTTCCATTCTGTTCCTGAAGTTCCTTTGTGATAAAACAGCTACTTTTATGTCATTCACTGCATGTCCTTGAAGGCTGAAGTGTTCTCCTACAGGTTTCTCAGTCTTGTGATTCCTGGTGTCAGATTCGTGTCCATTTATTCTCTGGCAGAATTCTAGGAGATCCCTAGGCCCCACCTGGAGGTTGTCAACCCTACGCTGTCTTGCTAGACCTTGCGAGAGATACTGATATTCATGCATGCATGAAACGCACTCCGTTCTGCTCCATAACCTGCCAACAGCTCACAAATGCTAACAAAAATGGGCATGCAGCATCCCAGTTGTCCTGCACAAGCCATTCGCTCCTCCTCCCCTTCCTCCAAAGTCGCTTGTTGTTGGAAGACTCTGCTTGGCTCACGCTGCACCTGTTTACTCTAAAACAGCCTCTCCGACGACGACGAAAAGCCAAGACAATGTTTGCTCAAAGATCCAGTCGGAAAACAGAACTGGCGTCAAATGCGCCATCAACTGTTCCAAATAAGCCTCGGCGGTCGAAGGGTTCGAAACGGCAGGCGGTGTTCCGGGTGGCGTGGGGTTGCCATCTCTGGGTCAGAAAATTCGTGTAGATGTGGGGATGGAGCCGGGGGGAGGGAGGGGTTTATGGAAGGGAGGGAGCCAAATGCTCAGCAGGGTCAGCCCTGGTTAGTACTTGACTGGGAGACCACCAAGGAAGTCCAGGGTTGCTTCACAGAGGCAGGCAATGGCAAACGGTCCCTTGCCTTGAAAATCCTGTGGGGTCTCCATAAGTCAGCGACCTGAGGGCAGAGCCTGAGGAGGGTGGGGTTTGGGGAGGGGAGGGACTTCAACAGGGTATACTGCCAATGGGGTATAATGCCAGGGGTCATTTCATGCGGGAGCGCACAGGAGCGGAGCTCCGGCAGTAAGGAGCCCAGGGGGCGGGCACATGCAGCAAGCCGTGCCCCCTGCTCCCAGCAGCTCTCAGTCGGGCCACAAGGAGCAAGAAGCAGCCAGGCAAGTTGCAGAGCCCCCCCCCCTGAGCGGTGGGTGTTGCCTTCTGACACACTTCCGGTGATGTCAGGGGGTGTGGCATATGCAAATGAGTTATGCTAATGAGATCCTGCACCTCTTTTTCTACGAAATGACCCCTGTATAA